CTTGGCTAATGTGTTTTGGAGCCGATGGTTAAAAGAATAATTGCAGATATTACAAACCTATCGATCCCACCCGTGTCATTGTCCTGTGCACTAACGTGGCCTTAGTGTGTCATTGCCCCGGTCCATGACCGCCCCAGTCCCTCACTATATGCCCCGTCACTGACCCTATGGCCTCATTCTTTGTCTTGCTCTTTGCGAGTGCCTATCTGACTTCGATCACTGGCTGTTCACGTTTGGTGAACAGAATTTCTCCTCGTGGCAAACAGATCATTGTCGATCTAATTGAATTTATCTTGGCTGTTCACGTTAAGTAAACAGAATCCCTTGCTTGACCTAACAGGTCTCGGCCCATTCGTTTGAACTCACCTTTTTGGCTGTACAGCGGCTGAGTCGTATTGTTGAGGTACGTTGTTCTTTGACTCGCCTAATGAAATAAACAGTACCGTACGCTTTGCAGATCAATATCGTTCTGACTTCGGGGTTCGCATTTCGCTACGCGTTGCTCAACGGTCTCAGTGACGCTACACAGAACGATCGTAGAATAGTCGATTACACTCGGGCTACGGTCGAGCCACAACAAGTCGTTTTGGAATTTACAGTACTCAACAAGACTCCAGATTTCTGAGGAGTATTCAACTGGTAATCCACTTACAATGCCAGTCACACGAAGTGGGAAATCGACTTCGGAAACTGATGCTGCCGGGAAAATCCTCGCCACCGATCATCCCCGGCAAGTCCCTTTTTTTGGTTTTTCTGTTCATGGCTCTCGTGTTTGTGGGGTTGGCCGGCACGGTAGTCGTCTGAGAGATAAACGTCAATTGTTAGAGTTGAAACAGAGGCATCTGAAAGAGCGACAAGAAATGGAGTTATCAACCGTGCCGCAAGCCGGACAAACGTACAGCTCGATCGGTCTACCGACGAAATCGAGCCAGAATCAGGACAACCATAAGGCCGAGGCCCCTACGTCCTGGAAGATTGGATTGGATTGGATTGAAGACACTTGCAAGAAAAGCAACAGGAAGAACTCCTAGATCTGCAGCAAAGCTTGAGCTCATCTAGAAGAACCGTTCGCGCGGACTCTGCAAACTCCCTGCATTCCTCTGCCGATTCTTCACACTACCTTAGGACACCCCGCTTCGAGCATGATGATCTGTTGGAAGGAGACGCGTTAGATGACCGTGAGGCTACCCATAGGCTTGCACCTGCGATGGAAGCCATCCGGATAGTGAAAAACGGAACGCGGTTCAGCGAGGTTCATTTCGTAGTGTCTCTTCCGTGGAAGAAAGGCGCCAATACTGGTTCGGGAAATTGTGAATCGGCGTTGGTCGGTTTGAATCACATTAAGTGCCATTTGGTACGTGAAGAAGCCCTACGGAACAGGTATGTAAAGTCGATGAAACTAATGATCAAATTCAAATTCAAATCACAGGACGTAGAGAGGCCTTCGTCTGTTGAGTGTCCTGGTAATGGCGGGTTCCGTCTGTGG